TTGTAATTTTCCCTTCAATTATTGTAAATTTGAGTAAAAAAATAAAAAATAATAAAAACAGTTTCAGAGGATATAACCAGCAGAGCAACAATCACATCATAATGACTCAGAGTCATAGTAAATCACTTAAATCCTGAAGTTGACACCGTGTAGTATTACTTTCCTTCGGCGTTAAACTTTGCTTGGCTTAATATGCTAGAGATGTCATTGAAACGTTGCTCTTTAATGCTTTTATTCCAAGCCACTTATTTAGTTGACACTGATCTTTAATGCTTTTATTCCAAGCCACTTATTTAGTTGACACTGATCTTAGTATTTTTATAATCTCATCTTTTAAAATACTAATATGGTAGAATAACAAAAGAAATTTTTATTTTAAAATTTAGGCTTTTTTCAGGGTTTTTTTGAAAATGTTCTCAGTTAAGCAGTTTCGAAATCTCTCCTGCCAGATTTATAGTATGTCATTAAAAATTTCCGAATTTAATATTATTGAAAATTATATTATTGAAAAATTATATTATTATCATTATTGAAAAATTATTTATTATTATATTGTATTATTGAAAAAAAATTTCAGCTTACATTTACTACTCAGTTTATGAGGTAGCTGACTTAAGTCAACATCCCAGCACTGATTTATAAATAATTTTTAGAAACAAATATAAGAAAATGATTACTTCCGAAATTAAAATAAAGGTCGGTTTGGTTTATTTGATTACGTAGAGCATGCTAGGGCTATCTGTCTAAGGAAAGGTATGCCTTCATCAAGGACTTCTAAGTCAAACCGGCTCGGATTAACGTTACACCTAGGAGAAACCACGAAACGTCCATGTAGCGAACCTCTTTGTTTGGAATTGAACTCCGGTCAAGCTACCAGTGTTCAGGGAATTTAACTTTCGGCTGGTGGTGGCCTAATTATAACAAAGGAAAAAGTATCTTAAAGAAAAAGGAGTTTACCAATCAAAATATTATAAAAGTTAAAAATAAAAAATTATTTTTCTATTACAAGTACTTAATACAATACAAGAAATGTGTAAGTGTAACTGGTTTTAGTCTGATAACTTAAAACCAAACCCTGACATTGTTTTTATAAAAATCAACTTATTGTTGCGTGTGTACGGGTTCATAATGGATTGAATGCATACAGAACCTATGATATCTTGATTAAATTTATTTTCACAAAAGAAACACTTTACTGTTCTGGAACTTTCCATAAAAACACTCCTACAGCTCTTCTCAGTATTACACAGCACAATAGTAATTACACTTCAAACTACTAAGAAAGATGAGCACGGCGCAATGTAAAGCGCACGAAAAGGCGAAGCTAGCTCGGAAATCTCAGTTCTCCAAAGTCAGCTAGCTCTGAACTAACAACTGGGAACTGATGCTCTCTCCAGTTTTCCAGTCAATGTCTTGCGTTTCCATTATTCGAAATTACTGGAAGGCATATACCATTCCATATAAGGGTCGGATACGGTTACAGTTACATATAGGGATCAATTACAAACATTCAATTACAGTAGTAATTACAGTTATACACGGACCGGACCAAAATACTGCTGAATGCTCTCCAAGTTTGGCGATTTCTCGCCAATTTACAAAAGATACTATACAAAGATACAAAAGATATTATACAAAGATACTATACAAATGATACTATACAAAGATACTATGCAAAGATATAAATATAAAAAGATATAAAAGATAGAAAAAGATACTATACAAAGATACAAAAGATACTATACAAAGACACATAAGATACTATTTATACAAAAGATACTATAATTTCACTAAACTATTTATATGTACATATATATATATATATATAACTCGTAGAATTAGTTTTATGAAAAATGATAAAACGCAACTGTTCTGACGGTTAGTTTCTTTTTATTACAAACTACTTCTCTCAAAAATATGACACGAAAAAGTAAATCGAAGAAAAGTAACACAATTGATTTTTATACTACAATCATAATATTTATCCAAAATTTGTTTATTGTCAGAAAAGCACAAAATAGAATTTGAATTATTCAAAATCTAATTTTCGAAGGGAGAGTTTCTCTGAAATGCATATTGAGTTTGTAGAGTCATTAAGTTAATTGGAAGCAGGAAAGATGCAAAATGAGTAAACGCCTTCGCCGGGTATCGAACCACGGACCTCTGGAATACCGGCCCAGCGTGCAGACCACCACACCACGAAGGCATGTTAAGAAGGCGGGAGAAATACCTTATACATTCCCGCTTTTAAAGGGCGACTGGGGTTTTTAGGGGACCCAATCGCCAAATACGGGTGCGGAGAATCATCACCCAACACTCTTTTAGTTCGGAGTCATTAGGTTCATTGGAAGCAGGAAAGATGAAAAATGAGCTAACGCCTTCACCGGGAATCGAACCATGGATCTCTGGAATACCAGCCCAGCGTGCAGACCACCCCACCACGAAAGCATGCTAGGAAGGCAGGAGAAATACTTTCTAAGTTGAGCTACTTTTAAAAGATTTCAATTTAGCTACTTTTAAACGCTTCATTATAATGAAAATTAATAATGTATTCCCAACTTCTGCTAATGTTTCTTTGGTGATTAAAACGGTGCTCTCTGAAAAAAAAAATTGCAGCAAACGATGCTGTAAAATAAACTCCTAATTATCTCCAGCACGAGAGTACAGAATAATTATGATGTAGTTGACTACGTTCTCGACAGTTTGTCATTTTAAGAATGCTAAAGAACATTTTAATTCTTTCCACCTGTCAAGACTCTCCATCTTCAGGCAGGAAATAAAGGATTAAATTGCTTCATTAAACCCAGAAGTTGACACCATGTAGTGATACTTTTCTTCGGCGTTAAACTTTGCTTGGCTTAATATGCTAGAGATGTTATTGAAACGTTGCTCTTTAATGCTTTTATTCCAAGCCACTTATTCAGGTGACACTGAGTACTGTTATAATCTCCTTTTTTTAAAATACTTTAATATGGTAAAATAACAAAATAAATTTTTATTTTTAAAAATTAGGCTTTTTTTTCAGGGTTTATTTTAATACATTTAATCTTTTATTAATATTGTTTCATATTTTTGCTCCTATTTCGTTTTATTTTCTTCGTACTATTTCACTTTTGTTTCGTATTTTGCTTTATTATGAATTTGCCTATACTATTTTTGTATTCTGAACAGCGGTAAAATCTTTTTAAGACGCCAGGGGTGTCCAAATAGCGGCTCAAAGCTAGTATCCGAGCGGCCCAAAATGCGTGCGCTAAGAGAAAAAATATATAAGTAAATAAAATAAAATATTAAGACCCCACCCAATGGAATTGCATTTTACTGTTGCGATCGGGATTCGAGATTGGATTTCAGAATGGAGGGACGGGTTATTTAATGCTCCCAGTTGAAATGAAATAAAATACTTTATGAGTTGTGGAGAAGTTCCAAATTTTATTTTGATTTGTGCAGAAGTGAGTACCTTCATTTTGATATATTTTTTATGTTTGTGCGTATCTATGTTGTTTTTATAAGAAAGACATAATTTTATGTTGCTGTAGTTACATGTAAAAAAATCATAAACTAATAAAGTTTAAATTATTTAAATATTATTTTCCTTATCAGCCATCGTTAGTGATAGGCGAAGGTGGTAGTATTTGTGAGTAATAACGATTACGAAAAAGTCTTTATATTAGCATACAAAATGTAAAAAATAAATGAAAGCATATAATATATATATAATATACAGGGTGATTCTAAATTGTTTTTACAAATTAAGAGGGGTGATAGTTCTTATCCAGATGAGCAATAATTACCATAGAACATAGGGTCACATTCAACTCTGAGAGGCAGAAGAGAGGAACATTAGAATTCCAACTTGAACTTACAACAGTTTTGGGAGAGCGAATAAACGAGAAAAACAATTGTGCAATCAGTTTAGTGAACAACTCACAGAGAGTGCACAAAACGGATAAAACCGAAAACTGGGCTTTCGAGTGTTAATTCGAGCTCAGACTTTGATGGCAAACACTGAAATGCACATCTTTGGTTCGCAAGGTCTCAACCTCACAAACGATTGCAACAAGTTAATAATCTAATGAAGGGCTGAAATATTATCAGCTAACTCCAACTTCCACTGTATGCCGAGATTAGCATGAAAAGTTCATGCTGTGTTCCGGCTGTCAGAACTTCGTATGCCATTAGAAGGGCACTTCAATTAGTAGAATGAGTGCAGCAGAGCAAGTCCAGGAGGATAGGATAGAAGATGGCGAAGGGGCAAAAACTACTACAGCAGTTTAACTGCTAAAAATCTGCCAAGTTTTCGGTTTTATCCGTTTTGTGCACTCTCTGTGAGTTGTTCATTAAACTGATTGCACAACTGTTTTTCTCATTCATTAGCTCTCCCAACACTGTTGTAAGTTCAGGTTGGAATTCTAATATTACACTTTCCTGCTTCTCAGAGTGGAATGCGACCCTATGTTCTATGGTAATTATTGCTTATCTGGATGAGTACTATCACCCCTCTTAATTTGTAAAAACAATTTAGAATCACCATGTATATATATATATTAAACTTTCTCCAAACCATCTCTTCGACTGTTCTGCTATTTTGGCCAAGTATTGATATAGCTTCCTCACACCAACTCCTCTATTCTTCGAAAATTATTGATATTGCTGGAGCTGTTCTGGATACTTTTGACACCTCTGTGCTGATGCCTTCGTCAAGACAACAACAACAACAAATAGTTTGGAAAGTTTGCAGTGAGTTTCTGCAGAATGATTCACTGGATCAGTAGCATCACGGGACAGTACCTTTATCACCATATGGTAAATTCCTGACATTTTGTATGCTTATTCTTGTTCTTTTCTGTCTTAGGAACCTGTCTTTTAAGAAAACTAGCTTGCTTTTATTTATAAACTTCATACATTTGCAGTAACTGTTACAATATCTGGCACTTTTACATATTGTTTATCTTACACACACACACATATATATAAGCAGCCGTAATATTACTCAAAATTACCTTGACGATATATACTCGGACGAGGACATGAATGGGTTCATTGCTGGGCAGTCCTTGGAATAATCCACCTTGGGGGTCGGTGATGGGTAGGTAGGGATCATGAACATCCTTCGGCAGAGGATTTTTGTACACCTTGAGAGAACCCTAAACAAGGAAATTATGTCACTTTTTATGAATAAATAAATTAAGAAGCACAGAGCATTTTTTAAATACTAATTTACAGTAAAACGTCTCATGATAACAATTTCTGCAATACAGTCATTGTGAAATTCTAAGAACTTCCAGAAATGGCTATATTACAAAGTGGTGTTCTTCATTTTTAGCATTTCTTGGAATATAATCAAGTAGTTTTCACTCTATTTCGTAGTCTATAGCAAGCGTCAACAACCGTTTTTGGCTGTGGGTGAAAATCAACCAAAATATGTGTATTATGAAGACAATTTGGGTCAATGGTATTTTAATTTTAGAACAGTCTTTCTTGGGGAATGATAAGATAAATTTTATTAAGCAAATAATTAAAATACGCTTTACACATAAAAAGTTCTAATTATCATAAAAACAAACATTACTGAATGAACTTTGTCTTTCTTTTCGATAGCAAATCAACTTCTCTGATGTTGAACATGTGATGTCAGTTTAGTCAACTCTGGTTTACAGCTAGTCGTTTTAAGGCGAATACAAGCATCTGAATTTTCAGTAGTTAAGATGTTCCTCTTCTTCAGTTTATTTTTATGTACTTTTGAAGTGCTCGTTAGGGGAGTTAGATGTTAGTACCATGTCCATTAGTCACGCTAATCCATCGCATAAACTTGACGTACAATTTCAATCGCTGGGTACCGCATGAGCTGATTCAAGCAGATAAGAATAGACCTGCATTAATCTGCTCGAATATCAACGCAAGTAAAATTCTGGACCCATCGTCACTTGTGATGAAAAGTAGATTTACTTCAACAATACAGGCCGAAAAGATAATTGGTCTGCGTCCGGTGAGCCCGTCGGCAGAGTCGCAAAGCGCAATTTGACTAACAAAAGAGATCATACTTTGAATTTGCTGGAATTGCCATGGTATTATCCAGAATGACTATCTTGAAAAAGATAAAACCCTCGACAGTTACGTGTAAAGCGAGATGCTACTCCACGTTGACGCTGATATGAAGGGAAAACGTCGAACTGCGTTCTTGCGTAAAAAGGTAATGTTCCATCAAGATGATGCAAGACACACATGTGTTTGCATTCACAGGCTAGACTCTACGGACTCGGGATCTTTTGCCACACCCACCTCACCATATAGCCCGAACATGACTTCTTCGGACTCCTACTTTTTTTCACACCTGCTGGTGCTATTTTTCATTCTACACTGGACATCCGAAGTGAGGTTGATCTGCTTTTGGACTAGCGGCCACCAGGTCTCTGGGCCGAAGGCTTAGAAAAACTACGAAAACGTTGTCAGGAAATCATAGATTTGGGTGGTGATTATTATCCGCACTAAAGATACTGTTTTCATGTTTTATTTTCTAACTTTTTAACAGAGTTTTTTTTGGGGGGGGCGCAAAATTTTCGTTACAACCAAATATTAAAATTCATGAGAAATGGTTGACTAATATTTGAGAAAGGCAATAGGAGGAATTCGAAGAATCACATGCTGATAATTAATTTAGGTAACACATTTGAAATGGAGCTCCTATTACTGATAGGAAAGGAAACACACAAGCATTGTTTGGAAATAAGAACACAAACGTTGCTTGGAAACTGTATCTAAAAGCTAAAGCTAAACACCACATTTTGTTACAAAGTCTATGTTTCATTTCTTTCTCTTGCTATATAAGAGCTATCACCGATATTTTAGAACTCGAATAACTTGGAAAAATGACAAGAACTAAATGAAAAGTTATGATATTTACTTATTTCTATTCGTAGACGAGCGCGTCTATACGCAGAGATAAGAGGTCGTATGAATTTTGGTACCACATTTTCCTTTACGGTGAACGGAATATTCAGACTTACAAGAGAATTTTTTGTATCTGCAATTACAGCAAAGCACTAGGACTTCAATTGTGTAAGTTTCATCATTATTCACTGATTATTTAATTAATTTTCTAAGTATTACTGTTGCGGCTTGTGTTCCTGACCGTCGTTACTTTAACACAGTAATCAGTTACCCGACCCTCCTTCCTTCTGCTGATAAGAAAAAGGAACTTTATCATTCTCCCCTCCTCTCAGTCTCGGACACAGGCAGCGCAGTGGTGCGCTTGTAATCGAATACTACTCTAAATCCTCCCCTTAAAAATCGCTTTTATTTTATATATTTTGTTTCCAAAACAAGAAAGGAAAAGATTGTCAACAACGCCATCTTTGGCCACATAATGAGTAGTAATCATCTTACGACTGTCAGTGATATTTTTTTAAATTTTTTTATTTTTTTAATTATTAGTACTACACTACATTCGTGCCAAGTGCGTGTTTCCATTCAGCTCAAGCAGTATTTTCCTTTATTAGTGCTACAGTGCAATTCCTCACCCAAGTTCATATCTGTGAAAGTGTGTGCATTGCTTATTTTGAAAGAGATTTTAACGCTTACGAAGTATTTACCTCTCACATACCACAGTCCGAACTAGTGCTACAGCACATACTCAATATATGTAAAGAAGATTTTTGAGATTTCACCATACATCTCCTTATTCATTATTAATACCGGAAGTTTTTGCATCGTGTTCTCGCAGTACGGTACATACTTTATCGGCAGTGTATGCGATTTGATTGTACATCTCCTTATTCAAGTTTAATGCTACGAAGAGCTCCAGTATTCATCATATTATTCAGTGCTTTGATATATAGTGCGTGTGAATATTATTCAGTACTTACTTAGGGCAGTGAAAAGTGCGTGTATTGTGCTCAAGTATTCATCTTTTTTTTTTTTTTTTTTTTTTTTTTTTTTTTTTACACAGCGCTGCGTTTCAGTTTACAGAGTGCGTAATTTTTATTCAGTGCTTACCGTGAATGTGTGCACATGTTATTGCTCTTTCTTTTTCTTTTTTTTTTAATCTTTTCTCTCATAGTGCTACAGCGCAAACTCAATATTTATGCAAGATAATTTATTTATGAGATTTCTTCATACATCTCCTAATCAAATTTTCAGTGCTGTGAAAGTATAGTGTTCTTGCAGTTATCTCATCTTATAGTGCTATAGTGCATACTTTACTGTCAATTTATGGGATTTGATTGCGCATCTTCTCATTCGAGTTTAGTCCTAGAAAGTGTGTGCATCGTGTTCTAATAGTCATTTTGTTATAACTCAGTGCTGTAAAATACTGTGCGTGATTATCACTCTGTGCTTACTTAGAACTGTTTAGTACATAAGGTTAAAGTGTGTGCGTCACATTTTATATAAAACAAAGATGTATATATATATATATATTCCTATTATAGTGCTACAGCCCATACTCAATATACAAGAAAGACTATTAGCTTATGAGGTTTCATTATATATCACTTCATACACTTTTAGTGCCGTGAAAGTGCACGCATTGTGTTCTCGCAACTATCTAATCTATTATTGCTACGGTACATGCTTAGTACTCTAGCCCAAGCGCATGCGATCTGATCGTGCATCTCCTCATTCAAGTTTAGCGTTGTGCATTGTGTTCCGCTACCTTTCCTTACAGTGCTATTGTGTAAACTCAGTATTCCTGGAATATTGCAGGTGCATGTGCATCCATCATTCATCTCTTCATTCGTTTTTATGCTCTGAAAGCATCTTCATTGTGTTCTCTTACTTACTATGTCTTCGGATACTCCCCCATCACCAGCCGGCACGGAGAATAATATTCAACATTCTCCCCCTTCTGTTAAAGGTGCCGTTAGCACATCGACACCTAACTCCAGGTTGGAAGCAATTAACCACATCTGTAACCAACTCCAGTTATTCATCTTACAAGCAAAGGAATCTCGCAGACTAAACGCTTCTGAAAGAAAGCAATTTACATCTTTTGTGAACACCGTTCGCATAACGTTAACGGAACAAGAGGTTTATCTCGCCCAGTTACAGGGACAAGTCTTGGCTCTGCAACAAGAGCAACTCGCACAGAGTTTACAGCCACCTCACGAGAATCCTCAAAATTCCGAGTCTTATCAAGCAGTAGAATCCTCAGCCCCAGAAGAACAGTCCACAAAAGAATATCCCTTCACTGAGGTGACACGAAAGAAGCGGAAAACTTCACCACCTTCAAGATCTTCTCCAGTTCTATCGGAGCACGTTCTATTATTAAGGTCAAAGAACTCCACACGGACATCCGAAGGGATTAAAGCTCAACTTTTGGCAGATTTGAAACCCTCCCAGCTAGGGATCACTTTAGTGCTGATTCGGCCCACAAGGTCCAGAGAGCTTCTAATCTGGTGTCGAGAAAAAGCTCACCTCCTACGCCTGAAACAGGCAATCGAGGACAGGCCAGCACTACTAGAGACACTTGAATTTCGTGAGCCCAAGCCAAGAAGGGAAAGTGTAATTATTTTTGGAGTACCTGAGAATTTAGGAAAAGAAGATCTAACAGCAGCACTTGTAGACCAACTGCCCAATTTCAATCCCAGTGCTTTTCAAATACGAGCAAGCCCTTCCGGGAAAAGCGGAAGGAAAAACTGGTTGATAGACATAGACCCTAAGTCAGCAGAACACCTAGTTAAGCTAGGCTGTCTCTTAGTGTTTTAGTGGGTTTTGAGTCTTGTCCTCTCCGTCTGTACATTAGGATCATACGCTGTAACAACTGCCAGGAGTTTGGTCACTATAGCAGGAACTGTAAAAACGTTCCAATTTGCGCGAAGTGTGGTAACAGCCACCCGACGCAGGAGTGTAGCTCGGAAAAAGTGAGTTGCACTAATTGCTGCAGTAGTAATTCTGAAAAGGGGACCTCTTTCAGCACAGATCACCCAGCTACTTCAAGTTCCTGCCCAGTGTATGGAGCCCATTTCGAGAGCCTGAGAAGGACCACTGCTAAGAACTAAACCAAGATGACACTAAATAAACATATAGCAGGTCTTCGATTTTTACAGTGTAACTTGCAGAAGTGCTATGCAGCAACCATAAATACGCTGCAAGTAATGACACATACTGCTGCCAATGTCGGAATCTTCCAAGAGCCATACGTTTACAACGGAGCGATTCCCAGTGTTCCAACACACAGCAGAACGTTTCTCTCAAAGAATCAGCTAGCTGCGATTATTTACAGTGGCCCTCTCTCTCCTCTCCTAATGAAAATCACAGAGCATACAGTCTCCATCAGACTAGACACTAGTAATTGCAGCATTGATATTATTGCTGTGTATCTACCCCCGAGCGAAGATATTACCTCTCTATTAGAAGAACTTAATTCTAACCTTCTAACTGGGGCATCACACTGTATCATAGCAGGAGACTTTAACGCCACCAGTCAACTATGGGGTGCTGACTCGGAGAACCGAAGGGGAATTGTGGTACTAGAATTCTTGGACAGTAAGCATTTCATTGTCATCAACGCTCAGGACTCACCGCCTACCTTTGAAACATCTAGAGCTCGAGGGTGGCCAGATCTGACAATATCAACTCCCAATACAGCTCCGTACATACAAGAATGGACAGTGAGTGACCTGCCATCACTCAGTGATCACAAAATTATTACTTACAAGCTGGATACTCCTATAGACTACATAATAAAGAAAAGATTCAAACCTGAATTTTGAGGACATTCCGTTTTACGAGAACACGTTCGAGCGCATGTAGAGAAATTTATCAAAGATTTCAACAACTGCCTAGTTACAAAAATAGTGCAAGCCGCTCACAAAGCATATCGTTTGAAATCTGTAAAGGCAAAACACTCGATATCCTGGTGGTCACCAGAGCTTAACACAGAGAGGAGCAGAGTTCGGCCACTTCGCAGGAAAGCACAATCCAAGGTAGATCCATATCTACGGCAAATCAAAATGATAACATACAATAAAGCCAGAGCTTTATATAAATGAAAAATTAAAGAGGCCAAGTTAATCTCATGGAGAACTTAGTGTAGTAATGTCACTAAAGCCTTTGGACCTACTCAAAAGATAACATATAACAAGGTGTTTCGTCCTACGACCCTTTCGCCTATGGTGAATAGCACTGCCTCATCCAACATCGAAGTAATCAGTGAGATCATAAATGCAGTTTTTCCTGATGATGATGAAGAGGATTTCTTAGAGGAGCAAGAGGAAGCGAGAAAAACCTACACAGTATGAAATTTCGCCAAGTTACCAGAAGAGACGAACTCCCTCCTACGCAAATGGAAGTGGACAAACATCATACGTACTCTGGCACCCAAAAAAGCTCCAGGTCCGGATGGAATTGATAATATCATCATTAGAGAGATACACCGGGAATTCCCAAAACTATTCCTTGCGGTCATTTCAGCTTGCTGGAAACATCAGTACTTTCCTAAAAATATGAAGTTGGCAGAACCGGCGTTATTCCTAAAATCAGGCAAAACTCCGGTCAAAACTGTAAGAACCTTCATCTTACAGGCCAGTCTGTCTACTGCCAGCGCTCGGTAAGGTATTGGAAAGAGTAATTCTTTACAGACTGGACTTCTTCCTGCAAAGGAACAACGCCCTGCATCCCAACCAATATGGATTCCGAATGGGCAACTCAACTGAACATGCCATAAAAGACTTAATGGCCACTATCAAACAGAACAAGGATAACAATTTGCACTCACTGGCAATAGCCATTGACATCAAGGGAGCCTTTGACTCCCTTTGGTGGCCAGACGTAATAAATTTGCTGCACAACATGGCCTGCCCAACAGCCATTATTACCATCCTTCGCTCGTACCTTCAAGATCGAAGTGTACAAGTAACATCAGACAGCGGCATTTATGTCAAAAATGTCTTTAGAGGGTGCCCACAGGGGTCATGCCTTGGACCAACACTGTGGAATATAGTGGCAAACTCGGCATTTCGTCAGTTTGAGAGCGTAGAATACGCTCGAATCATAGCCTATGCGGACGATTTTATGCTAGTTGTGGCAGGAAAGAGGAACCTCGAAATGAGATCTCAATACTGTCTTGATCTGTTCTCCCAATGGGCCAGAGCACATAAGCTTCAGATTTCGGCAGAGAAAACTAAAGCTTTACTCATAGGACGCAGCAGGCAGCTAAGACGCAACCCAAGCATTAAACTCCATGGGATACCGGTAAAATGTTTCCCCCAATTGAAATATTTGGGCTATTACTCGACAACAGACTTTCTTGGATGCCACATGTCAGGAATCTTAAGACTCGAATTAGCATCCTCCTAAGCAACAACATGAGACGCATGACTTCACATAAATGGGGTATCTCATCTAAGCTACTAAAAATTTGGCATAGAACCATTACAGAAAGAGTAATAACTTACTGGAGCAGCAATCTGGGGTGGCGAACTTACCTCTCATATGAAAAGATCCCTGCTCTCTATTCAGAGACAGCAGCAGCTACTTCAAGTATGCAGGGCCTACCGTACCACGTCAACACTAGCCCTACAGCCCTACAACAACTAGCAGGAATTCCTCCCCTAGATTTGATAGTAGAAAGGGAGGCAGCTATCGTAAGGTTTACCAGGCTGGGTCAAACTTCAACATTATGGGGTCATAGTTATCACCACTCGGACTACGAGGAGCAAAACAACTGCAATAACTTTCATCCAGCAGCTTTTAATCTCTCCGACGGTATCAGTATAAACGACCAACCAATTCAGAGGTACAGTAATAACCTTTTCACAGATGGCTCCAAAACTGAGAACGGCACGGGCAGCGCCTTCTGTAGACTAGAAAATGGAGTTGTAACATTCGAGTGGAAAAGGAAATTAGGCTTGAACAACTCGGTATACCAAGCAGAGCTTCTAGCTATCAGTGCTGCAATTAGATATGCGAACACATGTCAACAGAAGAAATTCTCCATACTCAGTGATTCGGCATCAAGTCTGGCGGCTATCGCAAGTCAAAACAGCCGGAGTCCTTTGGTATACAGAATTCAGAAACAGCTTCTGACAATGCCTATTTCGCAAAGACCCACTTTAAAATGGGTTCCCGCTCACACAGGGATTCAAGGCAATGAAGCCGCTGACCTACTGGCCAAGCAGGCAGCCAACTGCACGGATATATTAGAAAGACCAACTAAACTTCCTTGGTCTCATATTAAGCGAACAACTTTGACAAGTCTGCTACAAAATTGGCAAAGTAGATGGACAGAGGCAGAGGTAGGACGAAGGACATTTCGCTTACTGCCAAAAGTTAACATGGAAATAAAGACCCACTGTGCTAGCCTAACACAGTTCTTGACAGGTCATGGACCATTCCCAGTATACCTGAACAGATTCAGACTTAGGGATACTCCTTTCTGCGAATGCGGAGAGGAAGGCGACACGGACCATTATTACTTCCATTGTGTACATACAAGAACCTGGCACTTGAAGAAACCAGCGGACTGTGCCTGGGCAATGTGGACGACTAACACACTCAAAAACAGAATAGCCCTTGATAAAATAGAGAAAATCTCAAGACACTGCCTAAGCAGAAACAACCGTGGATAATATTATAATGTTTCAAATGTTCAGAACTTAAAGCAGATAACCAGAATAACGCTTAGTGCCTTGCAGTTATCAATATGTAAAAACTGTTATTAGTATGTAATATTCAACCTTGTTACTCTGGAGTCTTCCCCGCCGTGATGGTATATAATTCCGTTTGG